TGGTTCAAATTTTGTTTAGTTTTTAGTTTATTCATTCACTTCAAGAGTAATTTTAAGCTTGGGTCGCAATTTTAATAGCCTCAATCTTTATGCTAGTCTTTAACTAATACCACAAATAATTCAAGTCCAAAGCATATGAAAATTGTAAAGTAAATCTACTTAACAAAACTATTTTACTAATTAAGTGAACGAACTAGATAGAAATTGAATAACAATTTAGCCAAATTGCCCCTTAATGGTATAAAAAGGAAAAAAAAACTGTCCACTTTATGTTTTATCAGTATAAATAACTGGTACTTCAATATGTCCTTCAAATTTATACAGATGAAATACATCTGCTCTCTGTAGGTGCATGATTGTATCTTCAGGAAGACTTACACTTTTTTTTAAATTGGGGTAGGGGATAGGACTCAAACTTGAGTTGCCAACTTTGAAATGAGAGTTGTTATGTCATCTAAGCTAGATGCCCTTATGAAAAACCTGTATAACTAAGATTTCCATTTTTATTGGTGTTGTGAGAGAATTTTTTGGTTGTTTAGGTTGTCTTGTTTTTGGTTATATACTGTTCCATCTTCTCGGGAGTCCTAAGAAGCATCTAGCACAGCTGTTGTACATTTTTGTTTTACATGGAAAGGATAAATTGAATGGGAGTATGCCATCCTTAATGCCATTATCTAACAGTCACTGCCCCATCTTCCTTATGAGTCGACAAAGACTCAAAGAGACATCTGGATTTTTCTTCATTTTTATTTGAAATGGTAAGTTGAATTCGAAGTATGCCAGACCTAGCACCATTCAGGATAGATGTCTGCTAACATTTGGTTCTTGAACTATTAATGTACTGCTGTTCATTTAGTGGACGGCATGATTTGATATGCTTCATCTGCATCTCAGTTTTCAATGAACCCCTCTCCTTAAACTTGAGTAGAACTTTTTTAAAATAAATAAACTTGAGTAGAATTAAAACAACTACAACAGATCTTCTCTGCATTTTTTTTGCCATTATGACTGAAAATATAGGTTCAGATTTCCGAGACAAAAGGGAGTTTACTTCAGAAGTTTCTCAGTTGTGTGATGCAGAATAAGAAGATTAGTAGCTATTTAAATAGAAGACAGAATACACAATGATGAAACAAGAATTCGTTTCCTATTATTTTATTCTCTATTATCTTTTTGTGATTGTTCATCTTGTTATTAATCTATCTTACTTATTTCATTGATTTTACTTCTTATATTTCTTTGCAGTGATCTCTAGTCTTCTCTGGCCTATCTTTATTCTTCAATTTCTCACCTAAATTTTATTTATTTGTAAACTATTCATGGGACAAGTTAGTTTAATTGCCATTTATCCAGCATCAATTGTTACCAGAGCTTAATTGTTATCCCCACTTTCCGCTAAAAACTAAAAGAAAAATAAAAAATTTCACATCACATCCAGCAAATTAAAAAAAAATATCTTGCAAAAGAAAAACACCTAATTTACATTCCTGCCTTTAAACAGAAAATATATTATTTTAGAACAGTTTTTCAGTTAGAGAAGTTTTAGGAAGCGAGAGAGAGCCGAGAATGGAAAGAACAGAGGAAGAATTTACAGAGGGAGAGAGCAATGAGAGAAGGATGGATAGTGGAATTCATCATATTCTCATAATTCCTTACAGCCTACATCATACCCTTTATACAGTAAATTCTAGTGCTATCATTGGATATTGGCAGGTCTGGTACAGCATATTTGTCACCAGGTATGGAACCAGTACAATCCTAATGACTAGGAGCGAAAAGAAGAAAAAATAGAAATTCTAAAGGAAAGCTAAAATTTCCAACATTTATTTGGCACTGTTTTCGTTCTAACATCTTTTTGGTACTTTTTTTTTTTTTTCATTAAGTGGTTTATCAGTTTTTGGTGATTGACTAAATGCTCAAATTGCTGTTTCCTTGATTTACATTTGTTAAGTGCAGTCAGTCGATTGCTCATATCCACATTTAAGCAACAGAATGATGCCATATTGACATTGTTTTATTTACTCAGAAAAGAAGCACAAAAGTAAACATGCCAAGGACAGTCGCCATTCAGTGAGTTTTCTTATTCTGCATTGCTTGTTTTAGTTTTTGCATATCTTGTTTTGTAATTTAGAAGTGTACCCCAGCAGCTATGACAATTCAATAACTACTAAACTATAGGTTACAAATATTAGTTCCAGGACTTCTATAGTTTAAAATTTGTATGATATCAACAATATAAGTTTAACCGTATCCCTGTTTCTTTTGTACTGTTCTTCTTCCTTTCCTTTTGGAAACATTTGTAGTGTTCTCTGAAATAGCATCAATAAATTTAAGTATCAGCTTGCTGACAAAAATTCCACCCAGGAAACTAGTACAAATGTACCTGATGTGAAACAAAAATAACCAGAGTATATAGCTTTACTTTTTACATAGTTGCATCAAGCAACATGAAAACTGAAAATATGAAAATATGCTAAAGATGATAAGTTATACTTTGTTCTTCACTTATCAAAATAATGAGGCACTTAGTACACCTGCCACCTTTGACAATATATCTGACAACTTATACTTTTACGTGTCTTTTCAGAAAAAAAGGAATCATAGATGTTATGCATGGAAGAGAAATAGATAGTATTGAGATACTTTAAAATCTTGATTTTCGCTTGTTCTTTCCCTTCAATAGTGACCGTACAATTGGTAAATTGAAGAGGGAGCATCAACAAAGATTAGGGGGTTTTGAGATCATGCTGAGATTTGACTGGTTGCAGATAATTTTGGATAGTTTGTATAGTACTTAATTGCAGTTCTCTAAGAGAAACATCAGGTGTTTTTTCTTTGA